CACGAGCTTTTTTTTTTGAAAATTGTTTAATTTCATGTTTAAAGATATAATATGTTATCACCATGACTGGGATTTATATGTAATAAAAAATTATGAAATATGCTTAAATATACCACATAAATATTATTAAACACGTTTTCTATAAATTATTTTCAAATTACTCTAAATAAAAAAGTTAAATTCATCAAAATAGAATGATAAAATGAGCGCTTTATACAAAAACATTAAAAAAAAAAAATCAAATCTATCATATTATTAAAGCTATTCAAATGAATAACATGAATCAATTATATGGTGTTTTACATTTTCAAAAGGGAGAGATCTTCTGTATGATCGTAATAAATTCTTATATTTATTAAAACTCAGTTCTACATCACATGACGTAATTTTCAAATATTTAAATTTTAATACTTCATCCCCAGGAGTGAAATTTTCATCTAGATTGTTACCAATTAAAATATTACACATCGTAAACATAGATTTTAGTTGTATAACTAGTGTAATAGCTAAATAAATTTAGCGTTTTCAACGATTTTCTACAAACAGTACAAACTACCTACCAGTAGAGTAAAAATAAGACATTTTCTAAGATAGATCAAATTACTTCTTAGTATTTTTTTAAATCGATCAATGAATTATAAAGATCATAAAACATACATTTTTCACGTTTTTAGTGTTAAAATATATAATAATAATTTTCACTGTAACTAATAGCCTATGATGCCGGGTTGTAAAAATAGATCATTAAMAAAAATAAAAAAATAATTTTCATTTTTATCAAAATATGAAAAATACGCATTTWATCCAAAATATGCAGAAAAAAATATCACCATTAACCTCATCATGAGCTGATTCGTCATTACGATAGTAGTAATAAGTTGCAAAAAAAAATATACCAATGCATAATTCCATGAACCTTTCATGTACACTTCCATCCCACACTTTTTAGTTTTTAAGTAGTAGGTACGTAAGCTGTTTATTATAACCACTAATAGATCAAATCTGTTCTGTGGTTATAACTACAATTATGGTGTCACTTGTAATTTTCTTAACAAATGTATATAAACATTTTTTTTTATTATTATTATTATTTGTTGAACACCTTAAATATTGTTTTTGATACACTCTCATAATAATATAAATTAACTATTAATTAAATCAATATAATTAAGTATTTAATTATAATAATATATTAATATTATATATTAAAAAATAATAACTAATGCTTAAAAATGTATTGTAATCAACTGTCATATTGATTTATTATAATAATATACTGTTATATATTATGTAGTTTGTCGGTATAGTCATGCAAAGGCCAAATTTCAATCGGCATTTAATTTTAACCTTAATAATTTATAAATACCTAACTCATGCACTTTTTAAAAACAGATTTAAATATTTTTCACGTATAAATATGTTATTAATTACAGTAAATTGAGGGAATTAAACATACATAAGTACATATACTCACTTAACTGTTGATAAATACCAACACAATTTTTAATAAACATGTGTTTATCAATAATAGCATTAAATAGGTACCTACTAATCGGTCAAAAGATATTGTAATTATTTTCTTTTTTCTATTAATTGCATATAGGTAATTCATTGAAAACGTGTAAGGTGTTGTAGTACATAAAATTGACCTTGGTGTATAAAATAATTTGTACACTACTAAATATAAAACAAACATCTATGTAATGTGTTTATAAATTAATTAAGACTTTAAATAATGTATTTTTGATTTCTAATTAATATTTAAAACGATTATCAAATAACATAGGTTACATATTATACTGTAGATGAAACAGAAAAATTATATTAGATACCTAATAATATCGATATAGGTACTAATTTAAGTCATAATCAAAAAATACCACCTGATAATAACATTAATAATAATTGTGTAATATGTAGGCAATACCTTACACATTTTATAGTTACTTAATTTATGTATGCTATCCTTATTATTTAGGTAGGTACATCAGAATTTTAAATTATAATTTTCAAACAATATCTATAAGAGGTGCATAACACACAATATATGTTTATTGTGTACCACATATGTATAAGTATATGATGTCAAATATTGATTATTGTGATCATTTTATTCGCCTGCAATGTTTTACACTTTACGCCAATAGTTTTTTATTCGTCATAAAACAAAATACACACATTAAGCAATTTGTTTTATTTTAATGCTAGGTACCCATTAAGTTTCATGCAAGCAAACTACAACTATTCATTCAACTAGACGACCATTTTCACCACCAATTATATTTCTTTGCATTGTGATCGAACCTACTTCTTGTTACTTTTTTTGTTTTTATTATTATTTTCTTCTTGTTACTAAAATATGTGACTGTGCGACTGTGTGAGTACCTAATACCAAGATAATATAATTTGTAATGTTATATAATATTATATTTTGTGCATAACGCAAAAGACTCATTTAAATCGGCTCAATATAATTGATAAATAAAAATAATGTCACATGCAAATGATAATACTAAATATTCAATACTTCATAAGTCGAAATTTTACACGTTAGGAAGTTATTTCACTAAAATCAATGAAAAGAATAAATTAAATATTTTATGATGAGTGGTTTTGTTTAAAAAAAGTTGCACTATGCGTTCGAACAGTATAAATGTGTATAGGTATACTGTAAAGTATTATGGTGTTCACTGTTTAGGATAAGCGTATTAGATATATATGGGTAGGTACTATAGGTAAATAATAATTAACAAACCTATCAATATTTATTAAAAAAAAAATTACAAATACACACATGCACGCAACACCTACAGTCATCAGATAAATATCCTATACTATCTAAAACATATATTTCATAGAGGTCATATTTTGTTTTAATATTASTACGATGTACTAATACTACCGTGAAAAACGTGCGAAATGTGACTTTAATATTAAAACAAAAAAAAAATATTTACCTAAGACTATAAATTATGTTCAACAAGACAACAACGTTATTGTTGTATTCATATAGACTCAAACCAAATATAATTTGTGAGCTCTTAACAATAATTGTGTAAAGAAAAATAAGGTAGGTCGTATTTTAGGTACATATCGTACATGTTAAGCTATTGTATCATGTTATGATATTTGTATCATGTTCATTGTCATACTATCATGTAGTTAATTAACAAAGGTTTCTTCAACGATATCGATTTTTTTTGATACGATATCAATATCATGAAGTTTTATTCTCGAAAATTTAGGTACCGATAATCGTAATATACCGTACAATCTATTGATGATCAACATGTATTTTTAATTATTGTACAAGAAATTATATTCCAAAGCAATTTAATACAGTAATATTGTATAAAATAGTATAAAAACAACTTATTTACTATTTATTAGTCTATATACTTTATTACTAGGTAGTCATTATTTAGTCAGTGATATCGATATGTCGATACCAAATTTTTTTTTGATTTCACAATTCAATATCACACCAAAAAAAAACCATATCGATATTCAAAAACATTTCATTGAAAAAGGTTAATAAAATCTCTAACTTACATAATAGTACCTATATTTATTAGTATACTAATATGTAATACAATGTATTATTTAATATGATTTTGCTACAATAATCTTATAAAAAGGTTAATAGCTATTATACCTAATACAATATGTAGGAATATACCAAAACATTTTATTTTCTTAATACAGTTGAACTAGGTTAACTCAAAATCGTCAATACTTTAAACTTTTTTTTGATCCTTGAAATTTCCCATTATCGTACTGTCGTTAGATAACTCGAACTTCTTAGCCAGTCCTTTCAACTTTGAACTAACCAAGTTGACTACTAGGCTTAGTAATTTTATTCTAATAAATTAAAATGATAGATGGTAATTAAAAGGAATTAAGTATATTTACCGAAAATATTTCGACAAAATGGGTATTTGATGATGCCAACTAATCCAACAAGATGGAAATCCGTGTAGCAAAAGAACAATCGTTCCATTAGGGTCACCACATTCAACGTAATGCAATTTAACACCCTAAATAAAAAATAAAAGTCGTTAGTACCTAGTATCTGTACCTAAGGTTGGAATAATTAGTGATATTGAAAGATATAAGAATATTAACATGTACAACGTACATTTGAGTCTTATTATAAAGACTTAATATTATAATTAAAGCCAGCCGCACTAAAGCAACACCAAAGCAGTTAAAAATATGTGATTTTCGGTTTAATCTATATTTATAGCATATTTATTGTGTTTGACGTTGACCCAATATGWTGAATTATTATTTTACATCATCATTTTACATAGCTGAATCAGCATATTTTTTAAATTGTAACAATCCGTGCAACTAAGTGTTTAAAATATTATAGTTGTTTTTGTTACTGAAAACATGTCGTAGTGAGTTTGTTTCGCAATAGCTTTTAGTATTGTGTTTCATACGAGCACCATCATGACAACATTAAATAATACAAATTTCAGAAGAATCTCCAGTCAATGTTTATTTAGGTTTTCATTTTTAGTAACCGGTACTGCTTAAATTTTAGAAATTAATAATAAATACCAAAAACCAAAAAAATTATATTTGATGTCGGTATAATTAACATTTATAACATTATTGCCATTACATGAATCCATTTTTTTGAGAAAAAACAACTGTACATAATGCACAAGGGCCAATGAATGACACGAAAAATTATTGAAACTCGTAGAAAACAATTAAATCTTAAATTTAATACAAATACACAAGTATCATACAGGTATTGTATTCTACATTTTTACACGGCCGTGTATTATACATTTATACCTATATATGATTAATAAAAACTAAAAATTACATATTACCTACATAAAGAGTCTAGGCTGTATCGTCTTATATTTCATAATATATGGTACACTTATATATTCAGTATGGGTACCAATAAGTTATAACTGTCGATGTGTTATAGATATAAAAAGTGTGGGAACTGATGGTTTCAAATTAAACTGTTCGGCGATTTTCTATGTAAAACATCTCCAGTGACTGGTGGTAGTAATTTTTTTACGTTATTGAGTTTTATAATATGTATTAAAAGCTCACAGCGTGGGCGTTTCATCAAAATATTAGTATAAATACTAATATTTGCGAGAGCATGCGGAGGTTTTTAATAAATAATTTATAATAGCTTTTTTGACGTTATTATTTAATATCCTATATAATATTTCATTTTATACTGATATAGAAATTATAAATTTCAATTAAATGAATAAATTGGTCCAAACTTCAAAATATGAACAAACAATAAGTTCGATGTATAGATTCAATCAGAATTTTATGAGTCATAAATTTATAACAATTAATATAATCGTGTTTAAAACAACAAAGTACTAATTAATAAACTAATACTCGTATATAAAATAACTTAAGATAGGTACGAAATTTCATCTAAGCTCTAACAACACTGTTCTTTGTTGTTTATGTATAAAGTAAAAAAAAATAATAATTTGTACATTTAATATTTATAACAATAAATTATTAAATTATGGTGGTATTATATCATATACTGTATAGCTAATATAGTTATATAATAAATGATTGAAATATAACACATTATAGTTTCATTCGACAGTGTATTATTTTTAAAAACAAAAAAGCAACTATTATTATATTATTTTAYATGCGGCATATAAAATGATTATTTAAGCTTGCATGGGCTGATATATAACTAAAAAATTACTCATTAGAATTTTGATTAAGATATAACAAAATTTTAAGAAAATTACCCACTTAATAATTTTCTGTAAAAGGGGGAAGGGGTATTTCAAAAATAAATATTTGTACCGTGACATTGTCACGGGATACTAATCCTTAAGTATAATAGGTAAAACAAGTATTAGGAATTATATTATAAAGACCAATGTTCAATAACTCTGAATAAAAATAGGTAATCAGAACCAACTTCTAACTTAAGCAACTGTATAAAAAAGAAAATTTGATCTAGTTCATCGGGAGAACAAAACTAAAATATTAAATTGGGTGGCCTTGTTTATTATAGTCTGATGGGTCTATGTGAGTTTTATAAAAAAATGAATTACAGGTGATGTAATAGGAGTAAATATAGGTATCAATAGGAAGATTAACAAAGAGAAGATAGAAAGATAGCATTAATCAGCAAAAATTTGATTATATTTAGAATAATATATTTGATAGGAATCAGTGTGGAAGGAAGTATTTTGAGCAGCAAAGATCCCAAATGGCTCCTAAATTTCAGCCTTGTCTAATTTAATAGCAAATTACCTCATGTTATATCTACTATGTAGTATAAAAATGAAACATGTTTTATATAACAGAATACAGAGTACTAAGTTTATATTTTAATGAATTCAATTTTTTTAATAGAAGAATGTCATTAAAAAAATTTTAAAATTTCATTATTGCAACATGGATTACTTGAAAAACATTCATAGCTTGAAAAGCATTGTGTAAAACATTGCGAAAAAAATATGCAAATTCATTGAAATCCAAGGTCTACTTATAAACATGTTTATATATATATGTATAGCTGTATATCATAATGTACAAAAAACTGCAAACAAAAATTAAATGTAGGCACTATGTACAAAATGAAAATAATTACCAAATGTAAAATTAAATYAAAAAATGAATATAATGTTTTCTGTCGAAAAAACTAAAAAATGTTGACCATTAGTATATAATTTGTTGTATTATGCTCACCATATCTACAGTTTTATTAAACAGTTATATTATATAATCCCCCTTGGCCGAGCGTTGYATATWATACTGAATATCAGTGCGACATGACGGGATCAAGACTTCTGCAGAGTTTAAGACGTAAAGTAGACGGCTGACAATGAAAAGCGGTATCCAAAACGCGATGTTAAGAAATGTAGACAGTAAGTTAGGCGACCTACTATAAGTCACAGAATACAAAAATAATCGTTTTTATAACTTTATAAGTGAGTTTAAGATAAGTTTTAAATTGGTATACCCATATATGAAAATTGAATACCAAAAAYCATGGAGAGGGGGAAATTTTTTTGTTAAATACTCAAATCCTGWACATACAAAAATTATTTTATAATTAAAAATTCATTCTATTTTCAATTAGCATACTCAAGGTTTGATACTTTGGTATAATAATGTCTTTTCGAAGTTGATTTTACATGATTTCTAAAATACTGTGAATATTAATATTAATGTCGGTACCTACACAATTTTATTTGATAGGCATTTAAGTTYAATTAATTCGTCTCGATTACTCAGAATAGTTTTTCGTATCACTGCTTCAATATTATTTATTGAATTTATTGAATTCAAACTGACTATACAGCAGAAGCAGGTTCTCGACWTTAAAATGTATTATTAAAATAATTACAGCCGGAAGGGCACTTCATAAAATAAAATTTTCAGCCAAAATATTTGCCAATATTGTACTAATAAGTACTGAATGTTCATTTATTGTTGTATAAAATATAGTACATTTTGGACATAATTAATAAATAAAAACAGTTTAACMGTTATTTTCATTTGTTTTCAGAGAACTAGAAAGACTTTCGAGGGGAGATGAGACTAAGCCTSCCCCAGAATTTCCACCAATGGRTAAACCTGATATATTAAATAGATTATAGGTATATTATGATATTGYGGTATTGCATATTATTATGTAACCTTGACTTTGACGTACGAGTGGGTACCATAAACCGTGGTGGACAGACACGGCGGCGCGCGGTCTCTGATGGTCGCCAAGCGGATTGCCTTGCCACCGGCACCGGTGACCACGTTTTTGTTGTTCCCGCGGCTTCCGCTGTTCGACCACAGCGGTCTGAAGACCCTGGTGACCGCGTTYTTGATRACGATCCACGATCCCCAGACCACGGAGAGTGCCAACATTTTCAGTGACTYAATCGCCGATATGGAGACCACGTTGTCTCGACTTCCGACCAGCACGGCCATCGTGGTAGCACTGCAGCGGTGGAGGTGGACTCGAGCAGGTCGAGAGCGTTGTTATTTAGATAGGACGAGTCCGTAGAGAAGCATCACCGCGATGCGTATCTCTATCGGTAAGGAAATTATTGTGGTGGATTAAGACCAAAAACCATAAAACTAAACTGAGATTACGATGAAAAATATTACGGACGCTGGTACACGATAACAATGTTATAGTCTGAGACGTGGAACGCGTTTTTTCTATGTAAGAACGTCACACGATTTAAATGAAATAAATATTTCAAATTTGACGCTGTTGATATTATAATGTGATCATTGTATAGTACGCGGCACCACAATGACGGCGGCGGCGCACACGAGTGGGTTACGTGTCGTTGTAAAAAAAAAAAATAATCACACACAATCGCGCGAGTGRTATTGCGACGACTGACTGAGCGTTGTGGACTGGCCTGCAGACGATACCGACAACGAGTAAGTCGATGCTGGTTCAGCACTTTGGTCTTGAGCGCACAGCGTGTGTGCGTGTGACGCGAGCTCGCGATAACGGCTGAGAGTGAGTTGTGTAGAACTTGGGGAGCTGGCATACGATTACAATATATAATATTTATTTATTTTATTTTTTAAATAATAAAATAATGAGCTAAATATAATTAATAATAATAATCAAACTAATGGCACACATGTATAATATGTTAGAAAAAGACAATAATATATTATACACACATTTATATATAGATATATRATATATAGCTATATTTATGTATTATAATGATGGATAAATAATAATCAGTAAATATAACTGATTGAATGAAAATAATATAAATCTTATAACTAAGAAGACGTCCTCATTAGCCAAATGCATCATTCTATTAAAGTGAATAATTGTTACTTGAGTAATAATTAGTATTACATACAGGAATGCAAAATTAGAGATTAATTTGCCTATATATRTACATGAATACGAATAATAATTCAATTCAAAAGTTCAGGAATTTTCCTAGAAAAGGTAGATTAGTCTTAGTTACAGCTAAAGTAAAATAAAATAATATTTAAGCAGTGGACTAAGTAATAGTGCTATATAGGTAAATACTTTAAGATTAGTATAAACATTTTGAAAATTTAACTGTGTGCCTACTGCCTACTCAGTGTAGATACATCATCAAAAATAATTTGTCACATCGAAAATATTAAGTTCCTATAGGCTATAATAAAATTTATAAATGTGTAGGTACTTTCGATGTAATTCATAAAGTGTCGTAATAAAAGGTATCTCATGAACTATTATTTTCAAGCTAGTCAATTTCATCCACTAAACATTTTTAAAACATTTTTATCAACATTCATCGACAACAAATAAAAAATTTCAAATTCTGAATGTATCCAACTTACAAGTAGGTAACAAACATAGATATCATGTTATATTATTATATCATAAAAATACCCGAGTTTTATAGGAATATGTATTCATTACGAAGCACTAGCAAAATATAAATACCAAAATACGAAATAATAGGTAACTACGGCCGAAATGTTATRTTATTACAATAATCTGACATTCTGAACATTCTTGATAGAATAGTTGATAAAAATAAAAATAAAGTAACAGATTAGACAGACTGTAGGACTCTAATGAGTAATGGGTGGAAGTACTACGAAATGATATAAGGTTGTTAATTAGGCTAGCGAGTCATTTAATCACTGTCTTCAAGTCTTTTATTTAGTGCAACGTGGTCGGGGGGCCTTGTTACGATATTAGTTATCCAGGGAAGGTTTTCTATTCCTTATGGATAAGTTTTCCGTA